CTGGCAGCAGGGCAGAGGTTCTGTGAGCCCCCCACAGCCTACTTTGCTGCCAGGGACCCAGGGACCCACATTCCTCAAGCACCAAGGCCATTCTTTCCTCATCCAAGAAGAGAGGCCCCACGTACGTAGACACGGTCTACACACATCAGAGACGCTCCCATCCCAGTCTGAGGTACTGCAGCACCTGCCCCTCTTCTCACCACGCTCCCCAGCCCACCACGGTACTGAACCTCCAAACAGAGCCACAAGCCAGGAATGACCCACTCGAGTAGCACAGGGGGCGCTGCTTTCCGGGAAGGCCAGTCAGCCCAGCCCACCAGAGTGGCTGTGTCCCCTGCGTGGGAACCATGCTCCCAGTCCCAGGTCTCTATAGTGGAGGCCCTCAATTCACTGGAGGGCAAAGGGGTGGGGCAGAAGCAGGGCACTCCCCCATCACCGAGGCCCTTGGGGACCCCAGGCGCCCAGCATGAGGCTCAGACTCCTTCCTGAAGCTGGCTGCCCCTCTGGACTTGGGGTGAGGTGAGGAGCTGGCGTCAGGGCACGGTGTCTCTGGGCATGGCAGCTCCTCGTGCAGTCTGTGTGTCACATACGGCGGCATGGCCAGGTAGCTGGTGGGAATGGTCTAAAAGAAAGGGAGCAGTCCAAAGACACCCAGACATCCCGTCTCAGTCCCCACCACGAAACGGTCCACAAAGCTTTTACCTGCTAGGTAAGAAGCTATAAGACTAAGTCCCTGCTGCCCACGGCTGATAGGGCAGGGCGTGCGGACTGCCCACATTCGTGCCTTCAAGTTGCCTCATTGTCCAGAGTAGTTTGAACCATCCAAAGCCAGCAACTCCTCTTCTCGATGAGCCCCTCTCCTTAGAATGCTCAGTTCCCTGCCCCAGAAGTGCCCTGCCTGCCATGTGTAGACTTACATCGTCTGAGGAGATCCACGTGCGATGCCGTGCCTCCCCGATTCAGTCCCCGGGCCCCCCTGTGCTTTGCTCCATTCTCTACTTGCTGCAAACAGTGCAGCTCCTGCTGGTTGCGCTTCTGCTTTGCACTCACCAAAGACTGACCGCACTCTGCTCCCTTGCAAAGCTTATTCACAAAATTAGAAAACTAACCAAGGCCTCCCGGGGCCGGGTGGGGGAATGAGGATCCAGCGGGAAGACCCAGCCCCTGCCGTCGCTGATGCTCTGCAACCAGTGGAGACAGTGAGCGCAGGGCAGGCTCCTGACCCTGAGCAGACAGCCGGCAGGGCCCGGCCAGAGCGGCCCAGCTCACACCTCACTCAGCTGTCAGTCAGGCTGGCTGAGCTGCCTGCCTGGCCGCCCCCAGAATCAGTGTCTGGGAGCCACAGAACTAGGGCTGGGGGCGTACTAGCACCCACAGCGGTGGGTCCCCAGAAACATTCGCTGCTGCATCTCACGCAGCTCTCAATGCGCCCCCTAAAAGTGACAAGGGGACAAAGAAATAAAGACAAGAGACAACGCTGGGGCCAGGCGGAGCCCTCTCTCTCCTGATGGGAGCAGGAACTGCACTACCACCACAGAGACCTTTATTATACATTTGACAAAGGTAGTGTTACAGGATGCAAGGTTGCCTAGCAACTAGTGACTGGACTTGGCTCAGTCAAGGAGCTTAGCTGCTTTAGGCGTTCCTGCCTCGTCTTGACCCCACACGTGGAACCAATTTCCATTTTCCACTGCTGCCTGCGATCCACCAGGGCAGGCTTCACTGTCAGCCATGGAAGCCCAGCAGTGCATGAGGGGGAAGCACAGTGCACCCTCCGCTGGCCTTGGCCCACGCGCTGTCCAGCAGACGCTTCATGCATCCCCAGTCAGCTGTGATTTATCTCCATTTGGAGAATATCACAAACTGCCAAAGCACAGCGTGGTGAGGGCAGCAGTGCCAGGCTTGGGCCCAGCGTCTCTCACCCTTAGTGGTACAGCTCTGAGCTCGGAACGCCGGGGCCCTTTGGCTCTTAGTGTGAACGATGTTTGGGGCTTTGGGTCCAAGAGGTCAGCTCCTCAGCAACGGGAATCAAAGCACCGTCAGTTGCCTTCTGGAACTGCACGCTTTCCAGCAACCTCTGCCGCCGCTCTGGGGTTCTTACTCTGGTCTACACAGGTCATCGCAAATCTCCTTTGCAAATCAGGCTCTCGAGGGCCGCGAGGCCCTGCATTACCAGCTCTTTCCATGCGGTGTCTCATCTCATCTTATTTGAAATAAGAATCACGCACACCTCACGGGATCTCCTGAAGCTGGGCACACAGCACAAGACAGCATGGCCAGACACGCACGCGCAGGAGGAGGGCCCACACACACGCACAGGGTACTGCTCACAAACCTTGTGGGGGACAGGGTATCTGGAAGATACTGTCATGGGATCACCTGTGACAGATTCAAGCTGAAGCCTACTGCAGCCAAGACACATCTCCCAGAGCAGCTAGCTGTGGGGCGCCCAGGCTAGCCTCAGGTGTCATGGTGACAGCTTAACAAGTGACAGGAGAATGGCCACTTGAAGGACAGTGTGCACACCTCTGTGGAAGCAGCAGGGTTGCAGTACTGCTTCGTGTTGCTCTCGGGGGCTTCCAGGAGGTGTGGCAGCGCAGACCAAGCCCATTGGTGTTTCAGGATAGCGGGCCCGCTGTGAGTCACTGTGCCTGGGCACGGGGTAAGGGTGGCACACTGATGGGCACCTGGGGAGGGCCTATGAGACGGGGCATGGCCAGGCGGTCCCACTGGGCCGTGGCACATTGCCTAGGGTGACAGGGTGCAGCCATGCGTCAGGGCCTATGATGTGGTGTCCTGGGGTGGTCACGAGAGGCTGTGTGGCCAAGAGGCCTCAGCTGTCTCCCAAGGAGCGAAGGCAGGGCTCCCTTCATGTGACCTAGCCCTGAGGGTGCACTCAATCTCTGCTAGGCATCCGATGTGAAAAAGCTACTGGGTTGATTGCAACTGATGACCACGAGTACAGAGTCGTGCTCTGTCCCTCCAGAGCCCCAGTATGAAGTCCCCACTGTGCAGTCCCACAAGGACACTGTACACACCCTCCTTTCTGCCTCAGCCTCCAGGTGGTCGGGAGCCACCAGGTCCTCTCCTGAGGGCTGGAGCCCTGCCCTGTCACCCTCACAACCCTTTCCCCATCCATCAGCGCCTCCACTCAGAACTGGCTTGGTGGGCGGCACCTGCAGAAAGCACCGATAGAACCCATGCAGAGCCACCAGCTGCCACACCAGCACTGGGCCTCATGCGCCCTGGCCAGCACAGCCATGTGAGGCCAGAGAGGGCCCAGTCCTCAGGTCCTTTCTGCCCACCTCCCATTTCCACTTCTCCTTGCTTGCTCCAGAGTCCCCTGGCGGGCCCAGGCACCACATAGACAGATAGAGTCAGGCAACTGCTGAAGCTGTTTATTCACAAGTGGGCAAGGGAAGGCAGGTCCAGGGAGGAAGGCTGTGCAGCTGCTGGAGGGAGGGTCTCCGTCCACGTCCCCAGGACAGAGGTTCTGGGGCGGCGTTGCATTGCGGCGTTCTGGCTTGGAAAGGAACAGAGGTCAGTGAGGCCAGGAGGGAGAGGAGGAG